AGGTCCCTTTCCCATCATTATTGGGGGGCAGAAGGCCAGGGCTACAGAGCTTAGCTCCCACAAATGTGGCTCCAGTCACACCACTGCCATGCCCCGCCACTGCAGTGCTGAGCCCAGCAGCACTGCTGAGTGCTCCTCTGCTGCGTACACAACCAGTACACACCGGCCCCACTATGGCCATGCAGTAAATGTGGCTTCTGAGACACACATACATGTGGCAGTTCTCTGTTGACCATTTTCTTGATTTGACATAATCTAGCACAGAGAATAAGAACAATTGGGGTTGCTCTATTTGGTATGGTCCCAGCTGTCACTTGCAGTTTTATGCAACATGCACTGTTATTTTAATTTGATCACAAAGATTTTATGTGTAGGCCTGGCCAAGCTGTTGCTGTATTCATCAACACTACAACAACCCTGGTGGGTGACCTATAAGGAGCTCCACATTTAAGGTACATGGAGAGGGAGCTTTAAGTCTATTGCTGTCTTTGGGGGAGCCAGCAGGACCCTTTCCTATCAAAATATTCATTCTCCTGCCACCAGAAATCTTTTTGGGACAGATCAAGTGGATTCAGCCAAAACACTGGAACAGACCCCCCCAGAATAGACCTAGCACCATCCTGCCTTCTCTGTGCTCCCTGTGATGACCACCCCCATCTCCCCAGCCCCTTCCCGGCTGAACAGCACATCACCCTCACCCTAGCGCCTACAGCACTGCCCACCTAAAGCAGTTTTCTCCTATGTAAAGACAGGCACAGAGCAGGCAGCTGCCCGCCAGGCAGAGAAGGAATTTGTGTGACACCAATGACATCTAGTGGCCTCTTCCATGTGTGACTGGTGTGTTGTCTTTCTCTGAAGATGGAATGGAGAGGACAGGGGAACACGGGACTGAACGGGACCTCCTGGTTCATGCTCACACCCTTGCCAGCACAGGCAATCCCACATATCATCCCATACTCAAATCTGTCAATCTGCTTCTTAAAACTAGTTGTTCCCTCCTACTGGGAACCTGTTCCAGAGCCTCCTGTTCTGATGGTTACAATCCTTCTTTTCAGCTTCAGTCTATTAATATGTGTGACTCCTCCTATTTACTCACATCTTCCGGAGCTGGCACTGTCCTTTCTTTTGCATGGCTCTTCGCTGTCTCTGATGTAATTACAGAGAGCAGTCATCTCCATTCTCAGTCTGCTTCTCACAAGGTAGAACAAGGCAGTTCCTTTACTCTCCTCTCATACAGTGGGCTCCCCATTTCTCTGTTCATCCCAGGAAGTTCTGCAAAAGTATTCTGCAGCACACGGCCTTTTATGAGTTACCCAAGCAGTACGTGAGCAGCACAAGGAGGAGAGGGGTTATGGTGGGAATCCAGACTAGGTCCGCTTCCTGAGCCAAATAAGTTTCCTGCTGGGACCCTCCAAGTCTCTAACTCCCGGACCTGAGATCTGTTCCTTCATGCAAATCTGCTCCCTGCTCCCTGGCTGCTGCTGCCTGTACCTCCCCCCACTTACTAAAAACATCACAAAATGATCCCACATAGTTGTTAATGTATCACGGTGATGTAGGTTATGTGAAACACCAGCTAGTCAGGAGGAATCATATTTATCCACAGTATGTGTCTGCTTCTGCTATCTGCCTCTCTCTTGTGCCTTTGTAGAGAACCCTCAAACAAGTCCCTAAATTTGGCCAAAGCCCACTGTCCACCATGACAAACATCTCACAAAGGTGTATTTCACAGGGCACCAGTGGGTACTTCAACTTTTGTTTAGTTTAGAAACTATCTGAAAGTCCAGCACCCTGCAGTGCCATAATCCACTGATTTTCCTTCCCTCCAACTGAACTTGGAAGATAGAATTTGCTCACAGAGTGTCAGGATGGAAGCACACATGATCCGAGATGACACTCCACATAGCTATGTATTCATTGTTCTGATTTCCCATCCTTATCAGGACGTCCATGGGGTCCAATGCTTTGTCTACAGAAAGCTCTCATACTGCAAAGAAGGGAACATGCACCCAAGGGGTCTCAATAGAAATAAGTTTTGAGTTGAAATGACACCTGATGGAGATTGGTCCTTTACCCGAGATGCCACCCTGAGCTTCTGAATGCTGGGTGAGCAGAGGGGCTCCCAATCATACAGACCTTGGCAAGCAACAAAGGAGGGGATGAATGAGTCTCCACCATGTACAGCAGAGAACTGCTAAGGAGAAACACTGAAAAGTTGTTTTGCCCCTTGGCAAAGGATGTGATGACAGAGCAGGACAAGATGGGACCCAGCAGACAGCACCAGGAAGACAGTAAAAGAGGAGAGGTCACTCATTTCTTTCCAAACAAGAATTCCTTTCCCTTTTATTAACCTCTGAGCAGAGATGTGGGACAAAGGCTGGATACAAATGGGATTATGCGTGATTAGGGATGACACTCTGCATAGTCCCTAATCTGGAGCTGGGATTGCCCTTCCTCATCAATGGGTGTGTGGGTTTAGCTCTTTGAAGAAAGGGATTCCCTCTGAAGGAAGCAGCACACATCTGTCAAGGAATCAGAGGGGAGAAGGTTGCAACCACACATTTTGGAGATGTTTCCTGTATCTGTCCTGGGTTTGTGTATAACCCATTCCCTTCCTTAGTTTGTTAATAGTGGGTGTGGAAAGGTGTCTCTGAACCATTAGTCTTTTCTACAAAAAGAGAAGAGGATGAATGTATGTTGACAGTCAAGG